AAGGTCGTGGAGGCCAACATCCCTTGGGTTATTGTTGCAGCCTGTGTGCTGCATAACATCTGCGAGGCCCAGAGTGAGCTCTTCTGTGAGGCCTGGGCAGAGGAGACAGTGGGCAGAGGATGCCTGGCAGCAGGAGCACCAGCTGTGGCAGCAGTGATGGCACTCCCCCCCCACCCCCTGCTCCCCTGAAGCCCCAGGTCTACCTGGGAAGGGGGCCAGACCACCATATGCAAGAGGCACTGGCAGACCACCTGCTTCTGCAACCCTTCTGTAGGCCATCTGGCCACTGCGCACCCCCAGCACCATATTCACTGTGGACAGTTTTCTATAAAGCACTTTATTTTCTTCTACAAACAGTTCCCTCCCACCCTCCCTCCTGAACTACATAGCGCCTCCCACCCTCCCAAACACCAGACCCCACTACCAACCACCAATAAAGCACCCTCTTCCCCATGCAAACTATGTACACTGTGTTCTGTGTGTGCTCCCAGGATAGGGGGGCAGTGGGTGAAGGCACTTATAGGCTGGATCCTGGGGACAGGCACCCAGCACCCTGGGCTCTGGCTGCACTACCACTGGTGCACATGCCTCGGTGAGGCTGGCAGGCAGGGGGCAAGAATGCCCCTGTTGAGAGTGCTCCAAGTGTGCTGTGACGAGCTGTTTGCATGCACCAAAGGGTGCCTGACCCACTACTCCCTGCTGCTGATGATCGCCATGCTGCCCCAGGCACACCTGAGGACCTGGCATGGGACCCTGATGGTCAATGGTGTGGCAAGCAAGCCCTTGCTTCCCTGCAACACATGCTGTTATCTGGAGGGGTACTTGTGCCTACACTACATGTTCCTGCCCCCCACAGCCAAGGACATCACTGCCGGCATTGATGTTTTTCTCTGCATCTGAGAGGCCCATGGCTAGCTCGCTGAGGGAGGACTGGCTGTTCAGTAAAGTTTTGCACTGCCTCCCGGCTCCCTGTGTGTTGTGAGGGTGAAGGGCTCTCCTCCCACTGCAGAGCTTCCTGGATGGGCATGGCAGGCATCCCCAGTAGCCCAAGTGTGTCCCCCTGGCAGTGACAATGTGAAGCTCCCGCTGGCATCCTGGGGTGCAGGGGTGTGGTGCCTGCCCGGCTGGGCAGTGGCCGCTTCTGGGGAGGAGCTGGAGCTTGTCAGACTGAGTGGTGCTATCCTCAGGCTGTCGTCCTAGGTGGGGCAGTGCACCTAAAGCTGGCATGGAGAGTGTGGGCCCAGGCTGCCAAAGCTGCTGGACAAGGTGGGGGGAGTCGGGGGGGGGGAACACACTGGGACGTGTCCCTGATGCCACAAGGGGTCCTCCCCAACAGAAGATTCGTCACCGCTGTCAGGCCATGGCGGAGACTCTGACAGGCCGCCTGTCTGTGCTGGAGAATACAGTGCGGCTGTGCCCAAGGTCCTGGGGTGTAAGGATGTGGTCCAGCTGCTGCATAAAGGGCCTGGTCCTGTGGGCAGCCCATGACCAGTGGTTGTAGTTGGTGACATGGACCCACTGCGCCCACAGGGCCTTGAACTTTATGCGGCACTGTCGCGCCAACTGGTCATGCCCATGCTTTTGCATGTGGTCTGCCAGGGCCTCGTAGGTGTGGGTGTTGAAATGCCTGCCCCAGACAAACAGGCTGTGGACCTTGGCATCGCCCCACAGTGCCACAAGATCTGCGGTCTTGTCCTGGGACCAGTTGGGCCCCTGGGATGTGGTGTGTGGCATCAGGGATGATGCCAATGTGGCTCCCTTGATGGGCCTCAGGGGCTGCAGCTGAGAGTCCAGGTGCTTCCAGGCCTTGGCAGGTGTCTGCAGCACAAGGGCACAGCAGACACATGTGGGGCTGGCCCAGGGGCCAGCACCAGGGTCTGTGTAAGCTGCTGCAGCCAGCACGGTGCCAGTGCCACAGGACCCAGTGGCCAGAGGCAGGCAGCAGGCCCTGGGGTCACTGCAGAGTTTTAAAGGCCAGGTTGGGGCAGGCAAAAAGCCACCTTAGCCCTGAGGCTGGAGAAGCACTGAGCCCCATGGCCCTGGGGCTAGCCTTAGGGTGGGCCCCTGGTGGTGAGGCTGACTGGGAGCAAATTTGCTCCCAATTAACATTTACACATGTGCTACTGCACAGTAATTATTGTGCAGTTAATTTGCTACCTGCATTTTTAGGTAGTAAGCTAACTGCACAGTAGACTAATTTACTTCACAGTAAGTGCCTGCAAGCGTAGATGATGACACTTTACTGTACAGTAAATTAGTCTACTGTACAGTAAAGCATCTTGTGTTGACGCGCCCATAGAGTCATAGAGAAGTAGGACTGGAAGGTGCCTTCAAAGGTCATCTAGTACAACTTCTTGCCTAAGGCAGGTTCATCCCTATCCAAACCATCCCCTACAATCATAATCTAAACTCTACCTAAGACTACCATCAACCCTGACACAACATAGACCTAGTGGAGAATAGATTCAGGTTAGACATTAGGAAGAAATTTTTCACAGTAAGGGTGGCCAGAATCTGGAATGGGCTGCCAAGAGAGGTGGTACTATCATCTAACTTGGAGGTCTTCAAGAGGAGGCTAGATAGGCACCTGGCTGGGATCGTCTGACCTTGGTCCCTTTCCTGCCTGGGGCAGGGAGTCAGACACGATGATCCTTCTGAGTCCCTTCTGACTACAATCTATAAATCTATGAATCTATAAACACCCTGACCTGTTACAGGTAAAGCAAGGAAACCACAGCAGCCCAAGTCCTGCTTCTACATAATTTTGTCAATATATGTGGAAGAAGTCCTGTGTAGAGGGCCACACTCCTGCTACAGAGGATGTCAAAAACCCCTACAGTTCATACCAATCTGATCATGGGATAAAATTCCTTCCTGACCCCAAATATGGCAGTTGGTCTGACCCTGAGTTGAGGGGCAAGACCCTCTAGCCAGGAACCTCAAGCTTTACTCCTACCAGGAGAATTAGCACACCCCAGTTGAAGTCCCCAGCCTTAGCTGGAGCCAACACAATGCCACTGAGGAAGCTTAAAAACACCCTGACACATATTGCATAAAAAGAGGGAGCAGGAGCAACCAGCAAAGCTCAAAAGCATGGCAAATAACCATAGTAGAACATAGACATAGCTACGCCTAGATCATTCCTGACCAATGACTGTCCAGCCTCTTCTTCTTGAACATCTTCAGTGATGGAGTGTCCACAACTACCCTACACAATCTATTCCACCGACTCACTATTCTCACGGTGAAAAAGTTTTTTTCTGGATATCCAAACTACTTTGCTGCAACTGCAAGCCAATGGTCCATGTCCTCCTCTCTGCAGCAAGAGAAATGGTGCTTTCCTTCTTTATGGCAGCCTTTCAGGTATTTGAAGATTGCTGTTATGTCCCCTTTTAAGTGTCTTTTCCATAAGTGAACCATGCCTAGCTCCTTCATCCTCTCCTCATATGACTTGCCTTCCAAGCCCTTGATCATCTTTGTCGCCCACCTCTGGACCTTTTCTAACTTCTCCCCTTCCTTTTTAAGATACAGAGCCCACAGTAGCACACAGTACTCCAGATGAGGCCTAACAAGTGCTGAGTAGGAAGGCACTATCATCTCCTGTGTTTGGCACCTAAAGCTTCTATTGATGCATCCCAAAGCTTCATTTGCCTTTTGTGCAGTTGCATCACACTGCAGGTTCATAATGAGTCTGTGGTCTACCAAGGCACCAAAGTCCTTTTCCATAGAGCTGCCGTACAGCCAGGTGTTACCCATTTTGTATTTGTGTTTTTGATTATTCCTCCTAAGGTGTAGCACCTTGCATTTGTCTACATTGAACTTCATCCTGTCAGCTCTAGCCCAATTTTTACGATCTGTTGAGATTCTTCTGAACTCCGCTTGCATCCTTCAACATTTTCGCAGTTGTTCCCAATTTCACGTCATCCACAGACTTGCTCAGGAAGCTTTCTATGCCAGCATTCAAATTATTAATAAATGTTGAACAGTACTGAGCTCAGGACAGACCCCTGTGGGACTTCACTCAAAACCTCCTGCCATTTTGACATGGACTTGTTAATAATTACCCTTTGCTTGGGGCTATTGAGCCAGTTATCTATCCACATTGTACTAGTTGTCTCCAACCTCCATTTCTCCAATTTGTTTATAAGAAGGTTTTGTGGGACCTTGTCACAAGCCTTGCTGAAATCCAGATACACGATATTCACAGCATTCCCTTCATCAACCCAAGTAGCTACTCTGTCAGAGAAAGAAATTAGGTTTGTTTGACATCATTTGTTTTTCAAAAATCCATACTGGTTGCTTGGAATCACCCTTTCTTCCTCCAGATGCTTGCAAATGGCCTTCCTTAGGATATGCTCCAGTAACTTCCCAGGTACTGAGGTAAAGCTAACCAATCTGTAGTTCCCCGGGTCCTCCTCCTCACCTTTTTTTAAAGAGGGGCATACCCTCCAGTCCTGTGGTACCTGGCCCATCTCCCATAACTTCATGGAGATCATTGCCAAGGGCTACAATTCTTTCAGGACCCTGGAATGAAGCTCATCCAGCCCTACTGACCTAAATTCATTTAGACACAACAAAAACTCTCTGACCATCTCTTTTGTATCTCCTTCCTCAGCTTGCCCTCTTCCTTATCCAGATAATCCCTATTAGGTGCCTGGCAGTTTTAAATTTTCTGTGAAGACAGGCAAAGTGGCTGTTGAGTAGCTCTGCTTTCTTTGATATTTCTTGGGCTGCTTCTGTTAACGCCTCGGCAAGTTGTGGAATCTTTTTCACTGATGGCTCTCAAGAAAAGGATGGGTCAGATCTTCAACCCGTCTTGTCCAGTATCCTGTCACAGTGACAGTGAGTGGATGCTGAAAGGGAGAGTGAACTGGGTCTGACTACTGTTCTCTCTCACCTGCAGCCTCCAGTATATTTGCATTCATGCAGGGGGTTGGACTAGAAGTCCCCTGAGGTCCTTCCAGCTCTATGATGCTAAGATGTTTTTTTCTTTGCTACAGATGCCTCATGATGTGGACAGGCCCAATGGCCCAGCTCACCCCCTCATCTCAAAACCCCGGGGGAAATGGGCTCAGTACACAAACTACATTTGCATTGTTCTCTGTATGTTGGTGCTGTATCTCAAGGAGGAGAGCCTTTATCAAGCTGCACAGTGCTTCACCTTCCACTTCATGGCCCTGCAGATTGGAGCACTGCTCAAAGGGGTCTGCTACTTCTCAGAAGAAATCCACCACGTCAGATCCAGGTGAGTGAGTTTACAGCCCTTCTCTCTTGAGAGACACTTTGGGCGATACTTCTAAATGATCCCTGAAATAAGTGAGCAAGTCCCAGCCATGCAGGCACATGCCCGGTTCATGGATTCATAGATTCATAGATTGTAAGAGGCTGGAAGGGACCTTGCAAGATCATCGGGTCCAGCCCCCTGCACTAGGCAGGAAAGACACCTGGGGTCAGATTCTGCTCACTGACCAGGAGCCATCTGTCTGGAATGTGAGGAGCCATGGGCTTTGTCAACAGCACTTCCCTGAAGTCACCACTGACTACACTTGGCCAGGCTGGGAGGCCTCTGCTTTGTACTTATTTTTCTTGAGCTGCTGCCTCCTAGCACTCAGGCACCTGAATTCCTCCCAGCCTAGTGAAGCTCAGTGCTGTCCTCTCTCTGTGTGATCTGACTCCTCTTCTCTCATCTCTTGGTGATTTGCCGTTTCCCCTCCTCCCTACCTGTAAGCGTTTCTGACATCTCTCTACTCAGCCTCCTCCTTCTCTCTCTCCATCCCTCTCTTCTTTCCTCCCTTTCCTGGAGGGAGTAGCTGTGTGGCTCTTCCCCCAATACTCATGCAGGAAAGTGCAGGAAAACTTAAGTCACAAGTCAAAGCTGTATCATCCATTCCTATAGTGACATCAGGGCACTGAAAGCTCCTTTGAGAGACTTGTCTTTCATTGTCCTGGCTGTAGTCAGCTCCCCGCCAATACATGTTCACCCCCAGGACCATCAGCTCTCAGAGAGTAATCCTTTACCCTGTTACTGCAAAAGAGCCATGCTCACCAGGTCAGCCTTGGCTGTGGTACCTCTCAGATCTCCCTTAAAGAGACACCCACCAATGCAAAGTACTGCACAGCAAAGGCTGTATTGCATGTGGCCATTAGCATTAGCTAATAGACCCTCAGTACTGGCAGAAATGACATCCCTGCCTGCTACACCACTTGGGATTACTCCACCAGATGTTGCCCACTCTTTAAGGACCCAGGGCACCTCATTCTTTGGGCAGGGCAGCTCCATGCATTGGGCTGCATCTGCCCACAGGCCTGCAGGACCGGACTTAATCGCATTGCTCTTTAGGTACTGTGGCAGTTACTGGAGGGCACTGAACGCTTGCCTGAATGTGGAGCGGCATGTGCCCCTGATGCTGATCTGTGGGTGCGCCTACCTGACCCTGCTCAGCCAGAATGGGCTCCAGCTTTGTCTCAGCCTGATGCTTGTATGCCTCTGCCAGCTCCTCAACACTGCTTTCAGGCTTCACGTAAGGGCAGGACAACCTAGTAACTCCTCCCCCACTTACCCCAGCAGCCCTTCTACTCCCTGCAGGAAGCCCAGCTGACACAGGCCTTGTCTGTGTATCCCACACTACCCTTGTGGGAAGATTAGTCCCTCTGCAGTTACTTACGGTGTAAATCTGCAGTAGCAGTTGTTATACCCTTTCTGCTAAGGAGTCTTAGTGCTTTGTCTTAGGCAGGAGAGGTCTGTGCTGTACTGACCTGAAGTCCCAGGTTCAATGAAAACATATGATGCTGACCCATCCAGGGCCATCTTGTGCTATCTGTGCACAGCAAATGCACTGATTTTTATCTTGTCATTCTGGTCAATCAGTACATGTCACTGTGAGAGCTATTAACCCCAATTCAGCTTCAACTGTCCTTTTATAAGTAGAACTAGGAGCAGTAGGATGGAACAGAGCAAAATAAAATTTGAGCATGAACCCAGCATGGAGCACTGGGGGGATGGAGGGGGACCTGTGCTTGATTACAGCTTGTGCTACACATGCTTGTGGGGGATGTAAGAAATAACAAGCAATAATATCCTGAGTATCAATTACGGAAGGTGAGACTTCCATGGAAGAGCTATCCCTTAGTCCTTAACATCTGGAAAGGGTGAGGTGCTGCTTTGCACGGAGTAGTGCTGTATATAGGGACTGAGCTAGCTGTCCTGCTAAGTCACCCTCCTCCCTCATCCCTAGGCCAGGTCCTTGCTATATGGCTAATATTTGCCCTGTCTGCTCAGGCCACCATATTTCCAGATGAACTGCTTCAGGACTAACAACGCAGTAAAACACCTCTCAATAGTTCAGCTCATTAATATTTGATCTCATTGTCCCAATACTGCCATTCATCCCAGTGGGGGAACCAGCTACCTAATTTGTTCCAACCAGCTTTTAATGAGCACAATACCCCTTGGTTCCAGTACTGTCCTCAGGAACATTCAGAGCTCCCAGTGACATTAGAAGACTGGTGTTTTTAAACCTGCAAGTCAAGAAAATGCTTCTTCAGAGGTGTATATGTTTCTGCAGTCTCCAAAGGGTTAATTAATGGGAGTGCTGCAGGCTTACAGAAACACTGGTGTATACCCAGAGTATTTCTAATGGTTTTGGTGTGAAACCTTTGGATTTACATCACTGGAATGGAGAGAAGAGTATGGTCCAATATAAGAAATATAGATCCTAAAAAGGATGCATTGGTGAAAGAAAGATCTGAGCTGACTAAGGGATTTGAACACCCAATACACATTAAAAATGAATATGCCCTTAGAACACCTAATTCATATGCAGATGAATGGGCCCCTAGGTGTGTCTGAACATCTCAGCTTTAGCTTCTAAAGCACAGCATTTGAAGTCAAGCTCTGCTTCCAGCTGTGCTGTTTAAGCTGTAGGCCTGAGCAGGGTATAAATTGGGGGTTATCACCAGCCATGGAAGTGTCACTAGTATATGTGATCAGAATTGGTCCAGCTATGGGCCTAGGGGTAAACCACATCACTAGGTTGGTTCTCAGGTTCCTTATCTGTTAATGAGGCAGATGGTGCTGATTGAACTGCCTTGCCAATAGCTGAGTGCTAAGCAAAGTACTTTAAGACCTTCTGTCACAGGGTGTTGTAGAATGGCACTATAAGTAGGTTGTCCATAAGGAAATCTGGGACAACCAGGACACTGTCCCCATTACCACCATGCTCTCATGAGTCAGTGCCCCTGCAAGGCACTCCACCACTCCAACTCCTGGTCAGACTGCACCCTACACCTGCATTTCTGGGGTGCCTATTATAATTCTCAACAGCCAGCTGGGACTGCCTCTGAAATCCAGGACTGTCCCTCCTAAACCAGGACATGTGGTCACCCTGGAGGGGAAAGTACAGTTGCTTTGTTTGCAACTATATTTAGAGAGACAGGGCTATATGGAAGCTGGTGGAGTGGGATGAAACCTTACTTGACTTGTGAAGCTGTTTACTTAATGACATTTCTCCCTCCAATCCATAGAGACCCAGTACAGTGGAAATTTCTGAAATCTGTGAAAAGTACAACCGCAATGTAGCCTATGGACTAGCCTGGTCCTATTATGTTGGCTATTTAAAAATAGTGCTGCCACGTAAGTAGTTTTTTCTGTGTTACCATCTAATCCAGGAATAAAATTGCTTTATAAAATAACTTCCTTTTTTTATATAATAACAAGGAGCTGAGTAGCCAATCAGACAGCTTCTATCATCATTTCAGTCCCCTCTTCTCAATGTCCTTCTTCCTCCAAGGCCTTAAAGATTCAATAGAAGAGTTCAACAGAACCAATAACAATTTGCTAAAATGGAAGGAAACCTGGAAATTGCACATCCTGATCCCACTCAGCTGTGAGATATATGATGACCTGCAAAAAGCTGATAGCAACATCCATTTCTGGAGGGATCTCCCAGAGCTGAGGCTGGACCAAGCTGGCACTAAGGGAAGAGTGTACAAGCAAAATGTCTATGAAGTTATAGATGAAGACAGAAAGGTATGTCTACCATAGGATGTTTCAAGTTGAAGATTCATAGGAGAAAGGGCACAAGCCAAAAGAGGCCTGAGACAGGAGGCTTAGTTAGGGGTCTAAACTCCTCCAAAGACTGGGAAAATTGCATCCAGGACTCTGATTTGGGCCCCCTCCAAAATTAAGAATTAAGCAAAGTATGGTAGCCATATTCTCAAGGGATGTGGGAGCAGCCTGTGAAGCTTTGGTTCAGAACAAAATCTTGTGGGTTGGGGGGCAAAGGGGCATGTGTGTCATCCTTTAAAAATGCCATCTGGCCCTAAAGGTACTGAATCCAGCTGCACATGCTCTTGTACTGGTGGAAGTGGTTATTTCAGGCAAAAGCCCCCAGACATGCAGTGCAGCTGGGCCTACCTGTTTCAGAGCCCATCAGTAGCAGACTATTGATAGCCATCTCAAGTGCTTCAGCCTTGTCCCATGCATCTTGGGAGCTCTTGGGCCATGGTAGATCCCCCTTTTGCCTGCTTGTCCTTCCCTACTGCTCCCATGGAGAAGAGCATCGGTTTCCCACTTAGTCTGCCAACATAGGGTAGGCCCCTCCCTTCCATAAGGAAGAAGAGAGCAGTTGTGGAAGGCTTCTTGGAGGCACAAATGTGGCAGAGCCGGGGTGAAATGGGGAGTGAGTTGTGGTGTGATGCCCAAGGGGTGGGCATTCTTGGGAATGGCTGCCTGGTGAGCAGCTCTCTAATAAGAGGCCCCATAGCCATTGCTTCAGGACTGAAGAACAGTCTTTGCTCTTCCCTCTTTCCCAACCCTCTAGCTGAATTACTGCATTGTGGAGTATGCCACCCCGCTAAAGACCCTCTTCACAATGTCTCATGATGAAAGTGCTGCCTTCAGCCGGGAAGATCGCGTGGAGCAAGCCAAGCTCTTCTACAGGACCCTGGAGGAGATCTTGCAGAACTCCAAGGAGTGTGCAGGCTCCTATCGGCTCATTGTGTATGAAGGTGAGCAGGAACTTAGTGCAGCTCCAGGAGCACACAGCAGGACTGAGTTACTGTCTCACTGATGCGCTCTAATTTTCTCTCCTCTGTAGCAGAGGAGCTAAAAAATGCTCATTGGTCTCTATGGCATGAAGCCTGTTTATATACCCTGCCCTGGCACGTACATGTGGATTTTAACATGCATGGTCTCCTGTGCTGTGGGTGTCCTTCCTCCACCATAAGCCCCTAGCAGACATGGCCAGATCACTTAGGGGCAGATGATCTATATCTGCACATACTTCTTCAGGGGCAGGGGCTTGGGGGAGGTTCGCCTGTCTTTGCACCACATAGACCTATAGGGCTGGGTATACTCTGAGGACATAGCTTGCCAGCTTCTAAAGTGCCTCTTATGTGCAGCAAGGTCCCTAATATTCCAGAGGGACTATTATGGGGGAGGTCCCGAGGGACCTCTATGAGACACACATCCCAATGGCATGGGGACTGAAACACAATTTTTTTCTTGGTGATGATCCCGGGGCTGAGGTTTGGCCTACTCCTATCTAGCCATTTTGGCCCTTAGACCTGTTTCTCCAGCATTTTTATTTTACTGGTGCCAGCCAAAAAGTGGCAATACTTTTCATTTCTTGCTGAATTTCCAGAAAAGATTGAGAGCTTTTTTTAAGTAAGGAAAAGTGCATAATTTATCATATTTGTCTACTTTTTCAAGACTGGGACAGGAAGGGGTAGTTATTTTTTTAAAAATTAGAATGGGTTTTTTCCCTACTTTCTTTAATGTCCTTCCTGTTTCCTGTCTTTCCAATGGAAGGAGGAGTTTAAAAAGTGGTTATTTTTACCATTAAAAAAGCCAGTTTTATTCTGATTTTTTTATTCCAGCCTCATTTTAATAAATGAAAAACTTCCATCCACATAAGGTGTTTTTTTGCCGAAATGATCTTGATTTGAAAAATACCAGTCAGAGGTATGTTGTTCCCTTCTTCCAGCAGAAAGGCAGGCAGGCCCTTGTGGGGAACTTTGGATATCATGCAGTGCTCCTGGATGGGTGACCAACATCAGGGATAAACCTGTATCCTCTGGGTCTTGATACATGAACCTTTCCTGGCAAAGAGGATAATATCCATGGATTATCCAGTACAGACTACTGTATCTCTAGTTGATGGGGGCAAGTAACACATTGGGTGCGACATACATGGATAGCAAAAGTACCTCTCTGTGGAAAAATGCTGGAGAGTTTGGAGCAGAGATGGCTGAAAACGTTTCTGCAGAATGTTAATAATGGAAAAATACCGTGTTGAAACTGAAACATAGTGGAATATGTTTCAGTTCTGAAGAAAATCCTCACCAGGAAATGGTATTCAAAATTTAACATTTCTTTTCAGAAAATACATTTAAAAATTAGTAATGAATTTTTTCAGAAGCAAAAATTGATTTGAAATTTTATTTTTTATTTTATATTTACATTTATATGTATTTATTTGCTAGTAAAACACAAAATATTTATATTTTTATTTTTGTTTTATGAGTTAATATATGATAACTCTTGGTATATCAGTAGCTGTTGATCCATCGTTGTTCATCCTGTATTATAATATGATACATTAAAATTGTTGAACAACCCTGCTTTTATTTTATGCTGAAATAACTGAGCGACTAGTATTGATTGACACATCTAAATTTTTCTAGATCAAAATGTGTGTGGTGTAATGCAACAGTTTTGGTGCTTAGACCAAAGTGTCTCCTATTTGTGGAATAGTGAGTCTTTAACAATAAAGTCTTTAACAATAAAATAAAAATTCAATCAGTCTTTAACAATAAAATAAAAGTTGATGATTTCAGCTATTTTATATCATAAATCATTAGCAGCAGTACAACAATTAACATGTAATAAAATAGTCAAAGCAATGTAAAATCAAGATTCCAAATGAATTCCCAACCTACATTTTTCCTTTTTCTTTTAGGAATTTCTGCTTTGTGAGAAATTTCAAAAGTTATTTGTCCTGAATAAAAAAGTATTGAAATATCAAATTTCCCACAAAGCAAATTCTGGGTTTCAACCAGTGAGAGCCACTGCTTCCTCACATCTCATGGGCTTCCAGCCCAACAAAGCTGATGGGGTTTGTTTTCCATTTTATTTTCCAGAGTCAGGAGCCAGTGAGGGCCATTTCCTGTCAAAGGAGATCCTAAGACACATCAGGCAACAGCACTGCGAAGAATATGCCATGTGCAACGGGAATCACCACAACCCACAGCCCACAGATGTCTTCTCTACGGAGCCCAACCTCCTGATCAGCGATTCTGAGCTGCCTAGGCCTCTCCGTAGTGATGCTTTCTGAAACGTGTACACATGGAAGCCAGGTTTCTGTATTCTCTTTGGGATCTTGAAGTGAACAAGAGTACAGCACTGCAGCCTTCTTCCTTTTGCTATGTGCACTGTTTCCCATCATCACACACTTTCTGAAATCAGAGTTCTCTCAGGGTTACATCTTTACCATTATTATGGGTCAACCCTAAGCCATATATAAGCTGCCCCTTCTATTCCATATCATGCCTTGCTGTGGTGGTATGTCAAGCACAACAGGACAGACAAAATAGTAGGCAGGCTGATTCCTAAGAGAGCTCAGCTTGAGGAACAGAAAGCTTCCTGACCCTGTGATGAAACTCATCTAGGAATCAGTCTGCTTACTACTTGTCTCTCCTGCTGTGCTTGGCTCTAATTCTAGGCAGTAGAGATGAGAGATGTGGTGGAGAAGCACTGGAAGTCAACTACTGAACGCTATGAGATGGGTGCTGATGGCCTTATGTGCCAGTTTCCTCGGTACTGTCTGGGTGAATTCTGGGTGAATACTCTATGGGAGGGGTGGGTGAGCTAGAGGGAAGCTTGACTATGAAACCTGGCCCTCAACGGGGCTTTTGGGGGTTGGGTGGCTGCTACCAAGGATCAACTTTACAGTGGTTAATATAGATAGTCATCATATTTAAGTAAGAGGGCAAGCTATAGAGCAGTCCTGAGTAGAAATTTAGATTTAGCCTGTTCTTCTACAGAAAGCTGAGCACCCCTTTTGTCTGATTTTGGGGAGGTGGGAAAATCAAACATGACTCTTATAAGCTACTTGCATGCTTAACATCTTATTATACCCTAATACTTTACCTATTGTTATACTGCCATACATGTATGGATCTTAAGCATCAGCTTTTTGTAATAAACTAACTTAACATTCTTAGCAGTTACTGCATTTTCCTGTACTTTCAGGCCTTAGTGCTATATTAAGAAGACTGGTACATATTGTGTTTTCTCACATGCAACATACCCCTGAATATAATAAAACACCTTGTTTTTAAGAAGGAAAATGAAGAAGAACATTTTTTTCCAGAGTTATGGCTGCATGGAGCAGGGACAGGGCCTCATCTTTAGGTGACTCATCCTCCCTTTCCTGCTTAACTGAAGCTCAAACCCTAGCTGCTGCTGAAGACTGATCTCCATGGATGGATTCTGATTCTGATTCTGAGCCAAAGAGTCTCCAAGGCTGTGAAACAGGAGGAGAGAGACCATAAGTAGCTAGCAGACAGCAAAATTGCCCTGGGAAAGCTTAGCTTGATCAGTGGAACACCAAGACCATTAAAAAGGAGAAATTATTAATACCTCTGGAGGGAAGAACAATGAACCATAAAGTCAATTCCTCAGCTTCCTGAATAGTAATGCCATAGCTGGTGCACTGTGGAACAAGAATCAAAGCAGGGTGGTTCTATCCCAGTTAGAAAATCAGCTTCCCTGCTTAAAACATGCACCCCAATTGTGGGGAAGCTCTTTTTTGGAGAGAAAGCTGTTTGTTGTTTGTGAGAAAGTGGTATTTTGTATGTGATTTGATACTAGAATGGCATCTCTTGTGATGACAGGAGATTGCCTTGCACTTGCTTCTCTTGGCAGTGTGGTATTTAAGGTGTGTTCTAGTATCTCTATGTTTCTTGTTGGCCTGGGTTCCTTCTGTGTCACCTGCTGATCCAGTCAGAATTGCATGCTACATTGATAAGACAAAATGAGGGTAAAGAAATGCACAATGTACAGGTGTTTTTAGTGAAATGTATATTCAGCCCATACTACAACATAAGAGCGAGGATTTATCTGTTCATTGCATGTAGCTTACTTCCAAGTGTATGACTATTCTTGTGTCAGGGTATTTAAGCTGCAGTTTTGGACCCTCCCCAAGTGGGGAGACGCAGGCAGAAAAGACATTGCACAAACAGCTGCACTGCGGTATGTGGAGCCCCAGCCCAGCTCGTTGCCAGCAGCAGGTGCACACGTGCAATGAGCTGTGCTGGGGCTCAATGGATCCTGGAGCAGCCACTTGCAGCTTCCCAGCTGCCTGCCACAGCCAGCCTCAGACCCCAGTGCAGCTACCTGCAAACTCCCCACCTCCTGTTGCAAGCATCCCCTCCCTGGTTCTCCTCTTCCAGTGCCAGCTGGGGTCCTAGGGCAAGCCAGGCTGGGCCTGTGAGGCCAGGGGCCTCTATTCCCTGCCCCTGGATCTAGGCACAGCAGCTTCTGTCACTGTCAAGCCTCTCACACAGGGGGGAAGGGGGATGGGAGCCCCCCCCTCCCCCACCTCATGGGCCCACCCCAGCTCCCCCTGAACCCACACCAGGGGTAGTTGGATGGTGATCTGTGCAGCATGGAGCCTCTGTTCCCTCCCCTCCCTTCAGCCACTGCTGCCAGCTGACTGGGAGGGGCATGGCTGGGGAAAGGGATGGGAGGCTGCTGGAGTGCCCTCGTCTGCTGGCCTGGGCCAGTGCAGACAGGCTTAGAGCCCCCCTGACAAGCTGACTTTAACTCACGGTGCTTTGTGTAAAGTGACATGAGTTAGAGTGCGCCCCCCAACAAGCTGCCTAAACTTCTGTGCGCAGATTTAGTTTCTGATTTTGCAGACCTGCAGGACCATGCCTTGTTACAATAATTTTGGGTGGCTCCAGGAGCTCTTAATCCCTGGGTTGTTCACACATTTATGCCTTAAAGTGTGTTTAAACACTCTTTATGCAGCTCAAAGCTACACCACTCCAGGACAGAATTATCTCTGTGTTAACCAGTTCCTGTTCCATTAAAGTGTGGCCATTCCCTGCAGATGTGCCACCCAAGTTGAAGTCTTTCATTATCCCAGGATCTCTCACCACCACTATCCTACCTCCCATGTCCCCCATCTTTAGAGCAGGGATAGAAGCCAGTCCTGGCTCACCAGCCTTCTAGTGGCAACTCACAGCTACATCTCCTAGTCCTACCCCTGCTCACCAGTGGCAAGTCACAGCTCTGCAGGTGAGGGGCAGTCAGAGGTCTAGACTAAGGGTGTAACTGCTCCAAACACCAGGTTAGTACTAACACTGATCAGCATTTGTTCAGCTCACAGCGTAAAGTGTAACAAGGCCTTTGACTCACTTCTGACACCACATGCAGTGAGCAGGCGTCAAGAGAGAACCAGGACAGGACCTCATTCCTCCCTACTTGCCATTAGGGGTGTGTGAAGCAGGCCGTATTCAATTTGGATTAGGATTTGGCCCGAATCAAGGACAGTGATTCGATTTGTTGATTCGGATTACTGTCCCTGATTCAATTCAGCTGAATCTGAATCTGACGATTCAATGCTGATTCCGAGAATCAGTGATTCGGGCAAAGACACAGCTTTAAACGTTTTTTCTACATACCTCGAGGTACCAGCATGGCTTGTGAATGCTGCGATGCTGGGGTGGATGGAGTGTCCCACATTAGCGTGGGGGGGCCCACGTGCTCAGCGATGAACCTTGAAGTGGACCAAAACTACTTTTGGTCCGTTTCCGGGTCCGCTGGGGAGCATGCGGGGGCCCCCCACATCCTCCGACCAGCTCAGTGACCAGCCGCGGGGGTCTCCAGGTGCCCCCCCAGACCCAGGAGACACCAGTCACTGAGCCGGAGGGTGTGGGGGGGCCCCCGGCGTATTCTCTGGTGGACCCAGAAGTGAACCAGAAGCGCTTGTGGTCCACTTCTGGGTCTGCTGCCGAACATGCTGGGGAGCTCCTCGCACTCCTGTGGGACGCCCCATGTGCCCCAGCATCGCAGCACTCACGAGCCACCTGATACTTTGAGGTAGGTAGAAAAAACATTTAAAGCTGCGTCTATGTCCGAAACACCGAATTTTTCTGAATTGATTAGGAAGGTTCCAATTCAATTCAGAGAGATTAACGGGTCCTCTGATTCGATTCAGATTCAGCCACCAAATCAGGCCAAATCTCCGCCGAATTGAATCAGGGACCGAAGCTTCGCACAGCCCTACTTGCCATTCCCTCATATCAAACACTTCTTGAAAGTCCCATTGTCTACATACCCTTCTACTGCAGTGTTCTTTATTGGGAAGGCTTTATCATAACCCCTGCACTCCTGGCATAAAGCGGGTGGCCATCCCTACTGGCTGCATCCGCTCCCTGTTTTTACCTTGGGAGAGGCAGCTCCAAGCTAGTGAAGGATTCTTCTGCAAAGCTCTGGGGCATTTAGGCAAATCAGTATTTCTGCATCTCACCTGGAAGTGCCACTGTAAAACCCACCCCGCCCGCTCACTCCCACTCCATGCATCCCAGCTCCCATCACTGAGGCATTACATCAGAGCTACCTTAGAATGGCTCTGAGCATGTGCCCCACACTGCTCTTGGCACACAGTTGGGCTGTAGCAGAAAGCCCCCTTTTCCTCTTGCCTGCATTTGCTCTCCCCTCTTTGGATATGTTTCTCTTTTTCTACCTTTTCTTCCTTCCTCCCTCTTTCACTTTAAGATAAGGAATTGTGTTTTAAAATTTGTATGTGTGCATTTTGTATCTCCCCTTGTATTTTGGTATTTTTATCTATTTGTGTGCCATGGCATTTGTAGCTTATATTTTATACTCCTCACCTTTCAACTTTCCACTGAATGTGTTTAGTTTCATAAGTAAATTATACATTGTAACAATGTTAACAAGGGCAGGAATCAAACTGCCCTTCCCTGTATCAGGCTGGCCCCTGAAAGAGCGAGTGAATCCGTGATTGAATGTGTAACACCATTGAATGTGTAACATAGTAGCAGACAGAAATTAACACCTGGAAGCTGCAGCGTCCGAGGGGGGGGGGAAGTCCAACGAGGGTCAATGACCCCTGGATTGGGCAAACCTGAAAACTGGGGAGTCACCAAAGTCTGCAAAGGACAGATAAAAGGCAGTGAAAAGTGACCCTCAGTGGTGCCCTCGATCTCCAACTCGACCAGACCTGTCCAGCCAGAAGGACCAGCCGGCGACCCCCTTCTGGAAGATAACACCACGGTGAAAGAAGCCTCAACGACAGACTCCAGCGCTTATAGGATAGGTAAACCTAACTCTGTAGCCTGCTACTGTATGTGTGTGTGTGTGTGCATGTGTGTGTGTGTGTGGGGACCAGCCCCAAGGTTTATGATTACAGTGTTTCAATCTGCCTAATAAACTAGAATTTTAAGGATCCTGAGTTGGACATTTGTAGCCAACAGGGCATGTTTACTGGCCTGCACTCAGGGCTGTTCAGAGGCAACTGCCCTGCCTCACTTCTTGGATTTCACATATGTGTAGTGTGAGTGAGCGGGCAGAGCGTGCTGTGTGGCAGTGCTCCCAGGCACAGCACAGAGGTAGGGTAGATGTGCCTGTAGACACAGAGGAAAGGGGATAAGAGCAAGGCAGTCTTAGAGCTAGCTCAGCTGGGTGGTTAAAAAGCAGTTGTGGTTTTGCCATTAAACTGCTTTCCTATGCTCAGGAACAAGTTTAGCCCTGCAAGTTAAGGGTGAATGTCTGAACTGGGTGTAACAGCTGCACTAGTGTCTGCTCAAGGTTGAGACAGCCTGATCCTATGACACTGAGCCTAAGCAATGCAGAGCACTCTTAGTGCCCTGGCTTCTCTCTGTCACTAGGAAATGGAGTTGCAGCTTGGTATTCCCAGACTGTTTTTCCTGCCCATTCATCCTTTTCCCCAGCTTATCCTGCAGTGTCCATCTCTGTCAGCAATGAGCAGTGTGCCTGACTTCCCCTCTGCCAATGACTAGATGACTTGGAATGTTAGAAAGTCTGATCTTATAAATAAAGTGAATCAGATTTTTTAGATGTTTTCTTTCTCTTCTTCACTACCCCCACCTGATCCCTGACTCATTTCTCTGCACACTAAGAGCTTGCTTAGGAGGATCTCCCTTATAAAAACAATAAAACGGAAGGTGATCACCTGAAATAAATGGAGTTGCTGACTCTCAGCTGTCTGTGGTGCTTCCTGTGTTTGTTTTCCTGGGCCAGATCCAGGCATCCTTAATCAGGTTTGATTTATTCAGTGCACAAGCCAGGGAAGCTGTACTCCCTTTGCAGCACAGGATGGAAATACCTGGCTAGACGCTATGACTGGTGTCTGTACTGCTGCTGTCCAAGCTGTATGCACTCTGTACCTGAGCAAGACTGCTCATGGACGGTCAATGCAACATCCTGCAGCCACCCTGGTTGTGACAGTGATACAACCCATGTGCAAAAGGACTTTCCATTGACTGGAGCAGGGCACAGAGCCAGGACATAGTGGGATAAGTGGAAGGGGCCCAGCCACAAAGCAATATAAGCAATGCAGGTGTTCAGGGTTTCTAGTAATAAAACAGTGCCTGCTCCTGAACCAGAAGCAGTGTTGATACACATGAACATGCCTATTCATCCACCAACAGCACCACTTCTTCTAATTCAGGAGCTAGTGTATGCAGAGCAGGCCCTGAGCATGGCACTTGCACTGAGCACTGGGTTACTAACTTTGCAGAGAAGGGAGCATCCTGCTGCAGCAGGTGTACTGTCATAGGCAGAGATACCTGAGAAGGGTGCCAGGCTGCTGGGGGTGAGTGTTGCCCCTCACACAGGATGCAAAAATCAAATGATGCAACTCCACCTGGGCACTGAGAAATAAATCTCTCTCTGAGGACTGTGGCTGCAGGGTGTGCTCCAGCAGGCCTGGAATAGTGTTCAAGCCTGTCCCCATCTCTGGGGCTTTGGGTGTGGATGGCTGAGAGTGTTATATTCTGGCTCCTTCCATTGCTACCTGACTCCAGGGGAAACAAACCTCTCTGGAAATGTAGATTCACCTTTTGGGACAATAGCCTCCACTTTGATATAGAAAACAGCTGGGAGGTCACGTTTACATATTCCTGGATCCCACAGTATTTCCCTCCAGGGTCTCGCCACTGCTTGGAGACATTCCAATAGTAGAAATTGGCTCTTCATGCTGCAACCAAGTTGTGAAAAATCCTTTGTCTGGCCATGAATTAAGTAGGTCTGTAATTATTTAATGTTTGCCTAGAACCATCCCCAGCTACCATTTGCTGGACCATGCTACACAGCCACTGCACACATACCCCCAACTCCTCCTTCCTGGTAATGCACCTAGTGTCCCTGCCCCAGCACTGCCTCTACAACTCTTGTCCAATAACTCCAAAACCACAGGCTCAAGAGAGAGTTTACAGCCTTTGGCCCCCTCTTGGTTACCAGGGAGGATGCAAAGAAGGGAGTGAAGTAGCATGGATCTCTGGTTTCCAGAGCCACCTTTTGGGAGGCTTTTCTAGACAGAAGGGTTTGTGTGCCATAGAGCACTGGAGTTGCCTTGGTACTGCTGCCAGTAGAGCAGGTTCTGCCTCCTGAAACATTTTTTATGCAAGTCTCCCCTACTTTTTTTGTTGTGCCAAGGAGTGAGTGGTGTGTCAACCAGACCCCATTGATTGGAATGAGGATTAATCAGCACTAAAAGCTACTGACCCATCATTGGCTTCCTGTGCTGCTGCTTTGGACATACGTCTTTGTGCCTGATCCTGCCCCACACTATATTACTCCCTTCCCCCCTCCCCCTCCAGGTATTCAGTGTGTCTGACTAGGACAGTTCATTCAATCCCACTGAAGACCCCACAAGCTCTGCATCCCCAAGTCCTTCAACTACACTCAGCACTTCTCTCAGAGAGGCCACATCCCCATTTCCAGCAGAGAGCGAAAGTCTCTGTGTTGAGAGCCGGCCCTGACTTTCCTGAAGAGCTGTCACTCCTTTCCTGTTTTTCTGCTCTCAGATCAGTTTGCTCATGGCTAGTCATTTCTGTGTCTGCCTGAGAAGCACAGTCCTTCAGCCTGAATGTTTATAACTGGTTTCTAGGTGGAGGTAGTTGTGGGAAAGCCATAAACTGTACTGTCAATTCAACCCCATACCAAGGGAGACAATGTTCCTGCTCAGGCATGGGAAGGGCTGGGTTGGTTGGGTGGCAGACTTCCTGCTATCTTATTACCACTGGAGTGAATGGGTTTGCAGCTGCAGACCAAAGTCCACTCTCAGTACTGAATGCAGCCAGTGTAGACGGGGCAATGCCAGCTTTCCTAGGCTGCTGTGCTTCCACCGCTACTTGTGCGGGTCCCATGCCAGGGCAGGAAAGGGAGTCTTATGTCCTTGGCCCACAGAGTCCTTAGTCGTTCTGCTGAAACACCAACAGAGAGAGAGGGCCAAGCAGTAGGAAGCATTTTAATACCTTCCAAAAGTGAGCCAACCCAATCCCCTCCCCCCCAACCTCATGATAGGCAGAGCACCAAGCTAGTGAAAATGGTGGTTCAGCATCTGAACAAAGGGGAGAGATAGGAGCAGGGAAACCTTGGAGACCTCTGGAGGCTGCTCTGCCCCTGAAAGACACGTGTGAGAAAACAATGAGCACACAGTGTACATGAAAAAATCCTTAATGTGGAAAGTAATTTCAGGCTGGACAATGCACCTTTCAGCTTCTGCCAAGGAGCTGTTCCAAGGCCTGCTAGTCCTGTTTTTCAGCCAGCATGGGTCAGAGGCTGCATCCCTGATGATCAGCCACTCCCAGACAGAGCAGCACGCAGCTCCAAGGTAAACAGCGGACAGAAGGAGGAACTGACTGAAACCCCGAGGCAGCCTGGAGTTGGCCACAAAGCCTGGGCTGGGAACTCAGCTGTTACCTAGGACACCAACCATTAGTGCCACCAAATGTTTAGAAGCCACTACTTGTGCACAGTCTTGTGGGGTGGGGGCTATGAGGGCTGCATATTTACTGCATCAAGAGTGTGATGACAGCAGCACCAAGCAATGCCATTGCCCCGTTAGATCAGCAGATGGAAATGAGCACTAAGCAGCAGCTAGATGGACTGCACACACGGGCACAGGATCAAGTACCTTCAGACTCCTGCCCAGCTCCTCCTCCCCCAGCAAGCTCAGGTGTGTGAGAGGTGGGTTTGGATCTTGGCCTAGTTCCCTTTGCAGAGCACATCTGAAAGAGCCCCTGGGTGTTCCCAACACAGGTGTTAGCAGCCACACAAATTATTTTTTAGGTGCTGTTACTCTGCTGAATATGTCCCATTTCAGGACTTTACTAGGTGAGTCTGCCTAAGAGAGGAACATTGACGACCAGAAGATGCTAAAGTCACAGTGTTCAAATACTGGGGGGGTCCCTGGCAGAGCCCAAATTCTGAACACTGTTCTTTTTCAACATCCCCGTCATGCCCCTGGACAGGCCCACTGCCAGCCATTCACAGGTACGTGATTTCTATGACGCTAGGCTCTGCATTCCCACAGGGAAGGTGATGCTTACAGGAACACTGAAAGCTCAGCCCAGCACCATCAGTTCTACCGGGGTCTCTCCAGCAGTCCTGAGCAGAGGGCACATTGCTCTTCCTCTGGGAACCCAGCTTCTTCCAGTTGGTTAAGTAGACACCACTCTCCAGGTCTTGTGGCATGGGCTCATGGTGCAGTGTGATCTGTGCGGTCCGGAGCTGGGGGCCATAGTGCACCACCACAATAATAAAGATGGCCACAAGGACAAAAATGGCCACAATGATTGAAATCATGGGCAGGGAGTCAGAATTCTTTGACATACCCCTGATGACAGAGACAGGGGTGAATGCCATGAAGTCCTGGGGTTCATGCTGTCTCAGCTGGGTGCTTGGACTGGAGATGTTCATTGTTAATCAACAGGGAGGGAGAATGCTCACCTGTGGGAAGTAAAGCATATTGGACACTTGTATCAGGCAGAAAATGAATATTTGTAACAGATGACTTTGCTCTGTGGTACCATTCAAACCAGGTTCAGGATGATGTGTCCTCACTTCCTGTTCTAGATTGGTGTAGCTCCTGACTCCCTATGCATGTAGGATCATAAGGAAAGGGCCTCAAAAGGTCACCTATTCTAGTCCCCCAGGAATATTCCTGACTGAACCATCCCAACAAGTGTCTGTCCAACCTGCTTTTGAAAATATCCAGGGACACAACTTCTCTAGGTATCCTAATCCATCCTCATAGTCAGAAAGTTCTTCCTAATCTCTAATCTAAATTTCCCCTGCTGCAGTTTGAGACCATGGCTCCTAGTCCTGTCACTTACAGCCACAGAGAAAAGCCCATCTCCATCTTCTTTAAAGTTGCCCATTAAGTATTTCAGGACTATTATCAAAACTCCCTTCATTCTTCTCTTCTCCAGACTTAATGAAATTCTTTCAGCCTTTCTTCATAAGTCATGTTTCTGAAGCCCCTAGCCATTTTTGGCTCCCTTTGCTGGGCCCTTTCCCAACTGTCCACATCCTTCTTGAAGCGTGGGGCCCAAAACTGGATACAGTGCTCCAGGTTCGGCCTCACCAGTACCAAGTACAGTGGAAAAATCACTTCCCTTGATTTGCAAATGACACTCTTGTTAATACAACCCAGCATGGTGCTGGCTTTTTTGGAAACAAGAGCACACTGTTGGTTTCTGGTATACTGCACGGGTGGCACATGTGCTAAAAGTGGCACAGGCAGCCCTTTCTGCAAGGATGCAGTAGACTGGGGAGGGCACAGGCAACTCAGCAGCAGATAGGGTAGGGAGCAGAAAGCAAAACAGCCAGTCAGCAGGGGAAGGCAATGGGAGTGACCCTAGGGGAGGCTGTGGGGCTAATTGGTGGCATGCCTGCCCAAAAGGTCGTCTCCCCCCCAGCAGTCTCCTGTAGCCTCAAGGTCTTTCTCTGCAGTACTGTAGACTAGCCACTTATTCCCCATTCTATATGTGTGTGCACAATTAGTCTGCCCTTTGCACTTGTCCTTGTTGAATTTAATGTGGTTATTTCATATAATTTCTCCAGCCTACCCAGGTCATTCTGGATCCTAGCTCTGCCCTTCACAGTTTCTGCAACTCCACCCAACTTGGTGTCATCCACAAGTTTGCTAAGCATGCAGTCAATCCCATCAGCCAAATCATTAATGATATTGAACAACACTGGACCCAGGACAGACCACTATGGAATCCCTCATGATACCTGGTCCCCACTAGATTTTGAGCCATTGATGACTACTCACTGAGTATGATGATCCAACCAGTTTTCTAACCAGCTCACAGGATATTCATCTGGTCTGTAGTTCCTTAGCTTATTCATGAAAATGTCACAGGAGACAGTGTCAAAAGCCTTGCTTAAGTCAAGCAGATTCCCAGTACCAGAGAGACTCCTCCATGGCATTTAGAGGTGGGGAGGGGGGAGGACAATGTAGGAAGCACCAGATGGGACAGCTCCATTCATAGAAGGTATCTTGCATAGGGGTCTCTAAGGAGGATGATCAGGATACATCTGTTCTGCTGGAGCAAAGAATATATCTTTCACATACTTTCCTCTTTCCTTCTGTAAGGCACCTTGTTTTGGAAAGGCAGAATGAAGGGGAAAAAAAGATGTTTCCAGAGTCATGACTGAATGCTGGTGGCCACATGGACCGAGAACAGAGTCTTCTTGTCAGCATCACTTGCCCTGCCCTGTGCTGCTCAGACAAAAGCTAGTTTAACACTCATAGCTGCTGCTGAATTGGCAGCAGCTTTTGGCTGCTCAGTCAGAGGACAAATACACACTTAGCCCTGCACAGAAGCTTCTTTGGAACAGCTGGAGCCAAAATAAAACTCAAGCAGTGCAGCAGATGGGCCATTATTGTCTGGAGGCAACTTGACACCAGTTGCTAGTGGATTATCTGAAGAAACCAGTTATTGTTGCCTGTGATCATAACAGTCCAGTTATTGCTTGAAAGCACAGAGAAAGCTGGGTGCTGAGGGGGGTGCCTCACTGTACAGATACAGAAGCTAACAGGTCATGTTCTGCCTGGTTGGCAACACCAGTTTACCCTGGGCTGTAACAGTGGTACACCCTCCATCCCCCTAACCCCAACCTCTCACTCCTGAGCAGGGGCCTCTGCACACTTCTGGTACCTGCGGTGCAGCACTGAAGACACAGCCACACCCTGATCCAGTTGGCCATGCAACCCCCAGAACAGTGCAGCACTGCTCAGGGTACTAGCTAACCCAGTGTCTAGCAGCCAGGTACAGACCCTCAGCTGGCTGCAGTAGGGAGTTAGAAGGATCAGAGACTCTAAGTGAATTAGAAGTGGGCCCCATGTGCAGTCACTATTTAATCCAAGGCTAAATTAATAGTACAGAGTTAAATGCAACATAGTTGTGAACACTGGAGGAGTTCAGGAAAGAAGTCAAGGGGGAAAAGGGAAAGTGAGGGCTTTAAGTACGTGATCAGTCCCAGTGAGGTTCAGGGGAAGTGAAGGGAACTGCTCATGTGCTGGCAGTTAAGCCTGTATTTAGGCACCCT